CTAGATCCAAACTTTGCAGAAGGACGCAGTGATCCCACGTGTGCGTTCTGCTGACTGAGAAAACGCGCCAGGTCTTAAGAGGGCCAGAGGAAAGGATCTTTGGAGGTGCTTGTGCAAAAGAAAGTGCGGAGAAATCACTTGCGAGAGCTGTGGAATTTAAGCCGAAGTCGTCAGCCTGTCATCTTTATTTTTCCAACAGCAATTCAGTTCCGGGCACAGAATGGGCCAGAAACACTGGGATTTCTTTGTGCCTCTCCTTCCAACGATCGGAGTCCTCTGGATAAGTCTGACTACAATTTCCATTATCCCCAACGAGAATGCTTATTGGAAGGAAATGCTGAGAATTAGTATTGCTGCTATTATTAAATCTCCACCCCTTGAACGGGGAAAAGCAAAATAGGATTATATTTATGAATGGTGAATTGGTATCAAGGTGAAGCTCAGCATTCAGCCCGGACAAGACTGAATAGCTAGGAAGGCATTTCACAGTATCCCATTAATGGACAGGGATTTTAATACAATAAAATAAATGAAGTTTAGGCTGTTACTCTGTAATATATAAATTGACTCCCTATCCTATGAAAGAGTAGATTTTATTCAATTGAAATCTCCCTTCCGACATACAGTTTACTTGGTTGTGGGAATTATCCCTAGACCCACATAAAAAGCAATTCTCATATATTTCAATTAATATGCCTTTGTCCTAATTTATATAGTTGTTTAAAAGTAATCTATACAATTGCCTGTAAAATGCTTAGAAAACCAGAAAGCTGTTTCTTGCAAATAAAGAACTGTAGGTTCCTTTATCTAAACCATAATTATTTAAACAATATGAAATCACAAAATTGTATTTATTTTGTGCTTTTAAAAAACCTCTAAAATAACATCATAAAATATTATTAAAATACAGGAATCTGTGGACACTATATAATGTCACGAAAATTATATTAAAATAATAAATATAATTTTATTTTTAAATAATTTTAATTTTTGCAAACGATGATGGGCAAGGAAAAAGAAGAAACTTAAATAATAATTTCCCACATCTCTTGGGGTACAACCTATACTCGCTATAAAATACCCTCTGAATTCTATGGAATGTAGGTCAGAGTAGACGTGGATGGTAAGGGACTCTCAAATTGTGTGCTGGCAAGCGAAGACATCTTGATTTCAATTATTGAATGGGAGGGGGAGATCTCACATATCTTAAATTATAAAATTGATGAAACAACAGTCGAGAAGAGCTATGGCTCCTTAATAGTGCGGGTGAATGTACTGCCCTGCTCACCCAATCACACTCCATTTTTTCTTCTGAATATGTAACTGGAATGTTGGGGGGGGGGGCAATCTCAATGGGAGATAGAAATGAGGTGAATGCAACCAGCCAGATGTCAACCCTCCCTCAAGGCTCCCCGATTTCTCCATAAATCAATAATCGGAAGGAGTTAGGAAATTGGATGAATGGTTGCATGAAAGAAGATCTGAGTTCTTCAAGAATAAACGTGTTAAACTGTAATCCCACCGCTTAAACCCCAATTTTCTGAGAGATAAAGCCCACTGAATTAGTAGAACATATTTCAGGGCAGGTTTTCTCTGGATGGCTCTTCTTCAGCTGAATAAGATATTTAAGGAAGCATGCAAAGAACCCACCCGCCTGCATCTGATGCTCTCAAGCACCCAGCAATTGGGAACGGCAACGATTTTCCTCCCCATTACATAAACCTAAGTAAACCTGAACTCATTTAGATGGAATTCCTGCAAACGCTGTTTTTGAAATCAGTGAAATAAATCTAAAAGAGGAGACATACCTACACAATGTTATAAACACTAGACACTACAGTAAGGATTTGCATTCCTCAATCACCAAAGGGAACCGTTACCCAGCAATAGTGTACTGGAGGAAGGAGGTAATGTCAGTTTCATTTGATGAAATTATCAATATAGATTATTGAAATCTGGAAATAATACACAAAATAGTAAAAAACAGGGGGGTGGGGAGATGAAGAGACAGAAAAATCTTACTTTCTCGTCCATTTTGACTCATCCACTGCAAGGATAAGTCAAAATTGCTCCAAAAAATAAAAACTATGTTGGCAGACACATCAAAAAATTAAAGTGTAGGAGAGACAGCAGAATGTTTTTATTTCCAAGACATTCTTGGGTATCACTTTATGTACTCCTATTCATTGCATTATCTTGGTGTCCTGCTTTAAAGACACGTATGTATGTGCGTTTTAATTGGGACCTACTGCTAGATAAACCTGTCCAATTTAGCATGCAACACAAAGTGGCGGCATGCAGTCTAACCCTAAACGCCGCCGATTTAAACGGGAAAGCCCGCTGGTCTGAATGAACTTGCTTAGATTTGTGGCCTCCAACACAGAATCGGTAGAAGGCGCTGTACTTGCCCTGTGGTGCTGGAGAGAGAGGAGGGGAGTGAGATGCTTTTGTTACTCTCCCGGGTAACTGTTTCCCTTGGGCCAAAGGCTTCGCGGGCAATTTCCAGAATCCGGATCGCAGATGGGGGGAAATTGCAGAGCCAGGCTCCTTTCTGTCTGAGTGGTGGACGGTCATTCCTTCCCAGTCATTTTTCTGCTTGCGGTGAGAATCCAAACAACCAAGGCTTATTATACCCAGCAGCTGTCGACTTGAGCATCCCTAAGAATAAATCGCATTCATTCAACATTGTATTATGACTGAGATGTTCTTGAGAGGAGTGGGTCATGTGATAATTAAGGGGCAAAAAAAAAAAGAAGCTATGAAGAAATAGCATCAACCCTCGAAGGCTGGAGTGAGGCTTAAAACACGCCAAAGTCTCCCCGCACATTGTAGAAGGAAGGGCGAGGGTGGAGTGGAGAAAAAACTGGCGTGTATTCCACCTCCAAATAATCCTTTTTAAGCCATCCTTTCCTCGGTACATTTCCTTTCTCGAGTTTTGCCGCTTGTAAACAATGAACATTTAAATTATCCTGTCCCTTCCTCCCTTGTTAACGGGACTTAAGAAGGAAGAAAGGAAGAAGGCTCGCGGGGAAGGACAGCCAGACAAACTCTGCACTTTGTGTCTCTGGCCTGTGACCTTTTAGTAGGTCTTTTGGTTTCTTTTATTTGCATGGGCCAAAGAAGACAGTGGGAAGCGAGTTTTGCCAAAACGTACAGTTCTTTTCTGCTTCTCCCACAGGGAGGGAGGGAGGGAGGGAGGGAGGGAAGGAAGGAAGGAAGGAAGGAAGGAAGGAAGGAAGGAAGGAAGGAAGGAAGGAAATGAAACTAACAACGAACACATTTTGTCCAACTTAGACAAGGATAGAAAGAAAAGAAAGGAACAGATAGAAGAAAAATGGAAACCAAGGCAAACCATCTGCATGTGGGAGAGATTTGTGACCTGGATACTCGTTCTGAAGTCGCCATTCCGCCGGTTACACGCGTCCGGCTCCTGGGCCATCCAACAGCATCATCCTGCATCTGGCCACAGACCCGAAGAGCCCCACTTGATCTTTGCTCTCCAGTGGCTGCAGCTCATGGAACAGACTGAAATGCGCCCTCTCTCCGCTTCTTTCGAAACCTCTGGGGCTGCCCAGCGCCCTTCGCGCTGCAGATTGTAATCTGCCCAAACTTCTAACAAAGAGATCTGGAAGAGAAAGTAGACAGGCAAAGTTGAGAGTTCGAGGTGCAGGCCATCGAACTGCGGGACTAAAAAGGAAATTGCCTTTCATCGTTTCCCTCTTAACTTTCTCTTTCCGACTTCTTTCTTCTTTTCCATTAATCCTTTTAATTATTGTTTCTTCATTTCACTTCTTTCAAACAACTCCCCCACCCCATTGGTCTCATAATTTATTACAGTGTATTCCCATACACTGCTACATTGCTATAGCATGCCTCTTAATTAACTGAAGAGAAGCTCAAACTCAGGAAAAGAAAACTATACCGCCTTGAACCGACTTCTTTGAACACATAACAAGCTTCCGAACTTGGCTACAACGCAGCCTCTCTCGGTGGAAGCTGTTGGTCCGCTCCGGGGGAATTACTTCGAAGCGGATCTGTACAGAACGCAATCAATATACCTATAGGTGCGAGGCGTCGGTTCTCTTAAATTAATGTCGATTTACTAAAGAAGTGAACGGAGCATCTGTCTCTTTTGACTTTGTAAAAAAAACAAAAACATTAATTTATAGGAGCATGGAAGGAGCCCAAAAACGTACGCTTTACTGACTTCTATGGATCTTCCAAGTCCTTCTTAGTTAATAAGGAGGTGATAATATGAATTTGCCAAGGTGGCTCTTTATGGAAAAGTAAGGAAAACTCAGGGGGAGTCGTGGGACGAAGTGAAGGCCGAATTGCCCTGCAGTATTTAGAGTCAGGCAACTGTCACTCCGGAAAGCCGAAGGGTTCGGTTCAAGCAGCCACCTCGCTCGGAGACGAGAAAAGGGCCGCTCGCTGGGTCGGTGTCAGAGGAGTACGAGGTGTGGTTTTTTTTTTTGTCCTCTCTGCTTTTCCTCTCCTCTCTCAAAGGGCTCTGATATTCCTTAGCTCCTCCGTTGTTTCTGGCCGGGACTTTTTCTCGGAAGCTCCGTAGAAGCAGCCGCAGCGCTTTGCCGAAGAAATGTCTCAAGAGATGCGTTTTCCTCGAGCTGGGGATCTAAGAAGTGCGGAAAAGCAAGTCCCTGTACCCCCATTGCTGCGTTAATAGCCAGGTTAACTCGTGCCGTCTGATGAAACACAATGTGATGGAAACCAACGGCTGCTTTATGCCTTTCGCATCAGGGAAGTCATTCCAAAGTTTAGCGACTAACAATACAAATCCTAAAATGAAGGCGTTTAATTTAAAAGGACACGAATCCCGGCTTTTCCTCAACAACCTGATGCGGTGTTGTGGCAAGAAATTCCGCTGGCTTCCCCTTAAATGCAGCAGGACTGCACGCATTCGTGGCGGGTAAACGCTCCTGTTGGAGAGGGCCGCTCTGCTTCCAAGGAACTATGCTAGGATCTGAGTGTAAATTGACTTAATGCCTCAACCGGAAAATCGGGATCAAGCCAAATGCTTGGATTTAACCGAATTGCCGGTGGGGGCTCCAAATGGCTCCCTTGCCTTTACTGCTCTCCTGACAGTCATCTGCCGTACTGAGGGCAAGTCAAGCTCCCTGAGAAACCAGGGCCAAGTCCTCAGGTGCCTGTAAATAATTAAGATCGCGTTCACCGTCCTTTCCCTCCTTAATGAGACTTAATACCAGGCCACCAGAGGATTCTAAATTTCAACAGGGGCAGGTTGCAGGCCAGACTAAGGGTGCCATTGACCGTCTTTATATGGGGCATATTTAGCATTTGCCCATAGATGGTTATTTATTTTCATTAAACTCTCCATTTCTACATGAAGATTCCCCTGCATTCACATGTGTGAAAACACATTCATTTCAGATTGGCTTGTTTGGCCAAAAAAGATAATGACAGTTATAAGGTAAAGTTTATGCATCTTTTTTTTTTCATTTCAGCCTTCATCTATCTGGTTTTGGGAGAATCTGCCACCCTTCTGGGATTTCAGTAGAAATGGATGGGCTTCCCTTTGTGCAGTAAGGAGCAAAGGCCTAACACACACACACATTGCTTTTCTCCCATTGAGCCAAAGATTTCTCGAATAGGTTACAATGGAGCCATCAATGGCAGCAGAATGCTTGGAGTTAGATTTAGCGATTATTTAAAATGAATCAGTGAAATAATTGCGACTTTTCCCCACCTTTATTCAGAAAATTCCCTGTGAATAAGATTCAGAATTTGAATCCCATTCATTTAAGTTTGAATGTACTGAATGAGAGGCAGTCTTAATCTAACAGGAATCAACAGCACAGCTTCTCTTGCTGGGAGAAAACTTAGATTATTTATGCACCTCTAAGAGTGTTTACTCAGGAGTAAGTTCCACAGCTTGATATGAGCTGTAAGTCCCACAGTCCACTTTAAGGTCTGCACCCATCATATTTTGTCTCACTTCTGCCTTTGGCTATGACCACTTGAGGAGGGGGTAGCAGTGGGATCAAGCAGTAGTCTTGAAATAAAACAGGGTCCCATATTGCAAAATCCAGAGTTGGAGTGGCAAGACCCCTTCTGTTTTGGCTGGATTTTTGATTGTTTCCTCCTCCTCCTCCTCCTCCTCCTCCTCCTCCTCCTCCTCCTCCTCCTCC